GTAGGAAGAACCATCGATTAGCATAAGCGCTATCAGACGGCTCCGCAACGTGGGAAATCATCTTTTCTTTCAGGAAAGCGATAACTTCTTCTTTCATCTTCGGAGCGTATTTCCATCCCGCGTCATTCCAAGGAACATGTGAAATCGTATAAATCCTAGCTGGCTTAGCGTATCGAGGGTCAATCCTACCGCACTCCGCGTCACTGAAAGCTATGGCCTTATCACATGTCTTCAGGATTTCTATCACACGTTCTCGCTCCTGTGGGGTCAAATTTCCATCTCCGATGTCCATCCCTGCTATCCTCTCTTCCGTAGGCGTTGCGACGCGTTTTTCTTTCTTTCTTTGATTTCTTTCGCGATCTCTTCTTCTGATACCCCTTCCAGTGCCGATCGCTCGCGCCCACCGCCGCCGGCCTAACTTTTTGAGCTACTCGCTTGTGTCGCTTGGGGAGCCACCCATAGGGGGCCGTGCCCTTAAAAAAGACACAGATACCACACCGCCAAATTTCTCCTCTTTTTCCTTTGGGTACGAGTTGCCGTCCATTATTAGCCGACTCCCTAAGTCTTCGACCTCCACCATCCGACCTTCTTCCTCTGTGAGCAGTGGTACATATTTCTTCTCGCGGAATCGCACCGCGCGGTCGGAGATAGGCAACGACTTAATCTGACCATCGGGACTTGCACCCACAGCGAGAGCTGCTCTGTTCCTCGGGTCCCGAGGCTCCACTGTCTCAATCATTACCCGCGTCCCGTCTGGCTTCTTAATGGACAATGTTTGGCTCCCATCAGGTCGCTCTATCGTCACCGCATGCACGTGACTGAGCCACGTTCGACCCAAGAGCAGGTCGGAGCTGCAGTTCTTGACTGCAAAGACAGGCAGGGTCACCCGCACCCCTTGGACCTCTATGGCTGCCTTGTGAAAAACCCCAGTGATCTGTTGCTTTCTCCCATCAGCCGTCTCTATCTCGAATAGGCATGACCTATCGAGGCCCAGTCCAACTTGTACCGCCAGGTCCTCGTCTATGATGACAGCCTCACTGCCGTTATCAATCACAGCATCGAGTACCGCTCCATCGTTTATAATCGTCTCCACGGCTCCGCTACCAAGTATATAAAATTTGTCTGGAGGCACACCTTCCATTCCATCGAGAAGGACTGTCGCCATGCGATCCGCTCTAGCAGTCACCTTCGTTGCTGCTACCGTAGAAGCTTCCGCCTTAAGGGCCCTCTGACCCTCCTCCGATAGAGGTATGCGAGTCTTCCGCGTGATCATCTGTAGCTCATCACGAGCCGGCTTCGATGCCGTCAGGTACTCCAGAATAGAGCACTGCATGGGTTGCCGAAGGGCCCGCCTCAGTGGCTCGACCGTGTCAATTTCGTCCAGCGAACTCTTCATTAAGAACTTCTTGACTCCCCGCTTTCGCAGCGAAAGGATAACCTCCTCTCCATCAATCCGCTGCCCGTCCTTCTCTGCCATCACGTAATCCGTATCAGTTTTCCTCGATGTAGACCCTCTCGCCGACTTGGTGGCTGCCACCCTTATGGGTGTGGTCGCCATGTCCCCCTCAAAGGTTATCTTGATACTCTGGCTCCTGACCGACTTCATTCCTCTACTCGTCTTTATTCTCCTTGCTTCGACATYCTCCTTCATCGAAGGGAACATCGATACATCTCCGAGATCATTTGCCCACTTGACGTACTTGCG